TCTCGGTTTTTCCTTTATACATGAATAATAAATGGTTACAGTTTTTTTTAAGCAGGCGATAAAGAAAGCTGCAAGAGTTATATTACCGCTAATGTACTGAAACAGAGTTAATTTCGAAGCGTTCACTTCATTTTCACTCAGTCATTTTGGAGTATCGTCGTTTTTCCTTTCTCCCAGCTTTCATGGTTGCTCTGTTAGTATGGAGGAATGAGTGATTCCACCTAATTTTTGCTAGTTGAAGACTATATAAGTGAAGCCTAGGTGAAGATTTTTGACCGAGAGGAACACATCATGCCTTTGCTGGTCTCCAAATTGGTCACTTTGGTAAGTAGAGACGGATTTCACCCTTTTTCCTTTATTACTAACAAGTACACCCCAAATGTATAGATTATGAAAATCATTTTTGCTACATGAACATTCTTCCATATTTTCCTTATCAATTTAGGTGTTGATTTCTACCTTCTCGAAGATCTCCGTGACTGGAGGATCGTTATGTTCAGGTATTGTTTTGTTCAACATGAAAATTTTAATCGCTGAGGAATTTTTAAATTCTTCTGCTTTGAAATCCTCCTCGAAAATTTTCATGTAATCAACTGAAAAAAAAAGACAAATAGATTTTAAAAAATTGAAAACAAAGTTTAATGATGCCTGTATTTTGAGGGATGTTAGGTGGATCATTGACTAAATGGATTTTAAGCCTAAAATCCACGCACCATAACGGGTAACTGATAACTGCTTGCAGCAGAAAAAAACAAAACTGGGATCTTCCTGTCAACAATTGCCTCCTGGAGTTTTTTGTTCTCGTTTATCATTCTTGACTTATTAAAAGATCCCAGACGGCGAGTCTTCTGTCTTGAAATAATCTGTTGATATGAATTTCTTTTGGCAAAAAAAAAACAAAAAAAATTTTCCAGGGTATTAATTAAACAAAATTTCCCCTACGCCCCAATTTAAGAACAGAACGACCTTTAGTATTTGCAATTTCGTTAGTCCTGAAGTTGGTTTCACTATGAAATATTAGTTTTTGTTAAAATTTTCTCGTATGTTCGGGGTGTCATCCAAATTACCAACTTGGCAGAAGAGTCTTTGGTGTTATTGAGGGTTGAGGATTAACTCATTCAGTGGCATGCTTTTAATTAGATATGAAAACTGCAGGAAGTTCGGAGACTATAGCAGTGGCGTCAGAGTTGCTCGAGGTGTAGCCGAGATTCGCTTTCAAACAGACCTTCACACTTTTCGGATTTAAGCTCTTCCACAGACCTTCACACTTTTCGGATTTAAGTTCTTCCACCGATTTACAGAGAACTGTATAGGGAGGCGTGACACGCACTGCAATCCAGGTCATCATTATGTCCCAACGCTTGTAATAACGCTTTGCAAAAATATCCGTATACGAGTGTTTACCCTAAGGACCCAAGCTTCCACTGTTAATGTCGAAAGGAAATGCAGCTTTTCCGAATTCCTCCAGGATCCTAATGAGCACTGAATTCAGCCGATTCTTTGCCCTAAGTGTCTCTGGAATCGTCTCGAATATTGTGATCTAACGAATTCGTCTTATTTAAATACTTACCATTACTTTGAACCTTGTCCCCTTGGTAAGGAATAAGGAATGGGATCGAAGTCCGCTTTTTCAAAATTGCCTGTTTTGTAGATCATGACTTCAGTCTTGAATTTCCAAGCCATCAGAAGTCTCAATCAGCACATTCAACTGTCAGGATAAATGGAGACAAAGACATCGATGCTCTCACGATATGCTTATGGTTGAAATCGTCCTTGGAATCGGATCTTGGACTTCTACGCTATTTTGATGAAGCAGGGTCCGATGTATATTTTGCCTTGAGGCTGGGTTCTGGCGGGCAGATATGGCTTTCGATCCACGGTGAAGACAGGTAATAAACTTAAATGTGTTTGCCACCTATACCTTGTCACATTATTATTTTTTTAAATTTCTTTTTTTATCATTCTACTCTCCGATTTAATCTTTATTTACATTGGGTAATACTCGTGTGTAAGTGCATTAGCCCTGTGCTATAATTGGAAATTCTCTTGGACTTATGTCAGTTTCTGTGGCAATAGTCACTGTATGGCTCTTTATCTTCATCTTTTTTTATCATATATTTCTTGGGGGAATGTTTGGTCTCCATCTTTAAAAACAAATTAGCTCGTCATGGTTCAGACAAGGGTATTCTAGTCAAAGTAAACTTGTCTGTGATGATATCGCTTGTGGCAGAATTGTCAGTAATTGTCAGTATTGTAGTATTGTCATGAATTTTATACACATATATTGTGTTATTGGAGAAAACGTGTTTTCAAGACTCAAAAGTTTATGAGAGGGCCCAATTCATAAGCTGTTTTACCAACACACTAATAATCGATTTTATAGTAAAATGCTATAGCTAAAATGCTTCCTGTAAACGGACTACAATTATTTCTCAAATTAAAATACAGGAATTAACTCGATAAAAAATGGTTTGCCCTAAGAGTGATATAAAAATGGCTACAAAGGTATACAGATGTCTGACAAAAAAAGTATCTCCCTAACCAATAAATACATTTTTTTTAATATCTCAGTCATATCTAGTTAGGTATAGCAAAGGTCGTAGTGCAATTTTCTCCAACGATTGAAATTCTAACCTTTTTTTTTTTTCCTGTCTTATGTTCATAATGTGAAGCAGAGGAAAATTGACAATAAGCTGGTTTAGAAAAATTTGAATTAAAGACTCATTTACTTTCCTGAAATGATTTTTTCTCGCTCAAAAGAGAACTAGATATCATGCCTCAAATCCAGAACGGCAAATGGCATGGACTATGTGTCACGTGGAACAAAGATTGTGGCCATTTTCTGATTTACTACGACGGTCGGTTAATTAGAAGTGAAAGTGGTTTAAAATCCGGAAAATCATTTCCCTCGAATAATACCTTTACTTTGGGAATCGGAGCCGAGGAAAAGTTTAACTACACTGGCATGTTAGGGCATGTAAATATATGGTCACGCGTTTTGGAGCACCCTCTCCTTTCAGCTCTGTCTTCCAAGTGTGGGGTCGAACGCGGAGGGCTTGTTTCTTGGCCTCGGTTCCAGGAGGATCTTCGTGGTGTTAATGTGGGAGAATCCTGTTCTTTTCATGGTGAGGGCAAACACAGTTAATAGCTTCTTCTTAGGGAGCACTTGATTTAACGTAAGGGCAGAGCTGGTGACTTGAGTTATTTCCACCGACTTCCCTTGCATAGTGATTTCCTCCTCCTAAGCGAAAATGCCAATGTATCTGTGACAGATCTTGACAGAAATATAAACAATATACTTCACTAACCCAAAACACTTGCACGATAACTGTTTTATCTTCATGAAAAGAATTCAAGTTATAAAGAGATGTTACTCGATTTGTCACTAACGTCCCTACGAGAATCGGTCCCATTCTTTCCGATTCCGTGCTTTGTGTTTATTAAATTTGTTAGCTTGTCATTAAAAGATTTAACAGCTCCTTTGCTCTATTTTAGAAGTTAATATAACGCATGACGTGAAGCACTGGAAGCTTGATGGAGAGGATCAAGATCTGAAGTAGGTTTTCTAATATATGCGAGCTTGACGTTATCCTGTCGACGTTGTAGTCGTAGCTATTGACACCGCAACAATCTTTATCATTATAATAATAATCGCCATCATCTTCCTCATAATTTTCATTATTACCATGATCATTATCATTATCATTATCAAATCATCTTCGCCATCATCTTTAAACGCGATTTCATTGTCCTCTCTATTTCCCTCTTCTTCCAAATCCTCTTTCGCCTTTAGCTGCCTGTTTTCCAGTCCTTCCTCCTTACGTAACCTTACTCTATCTAACTTATAAACGTCATTTACAAATACTCCTCTTTATCCTCGTTTTCTTTCGTATCCTTCCCTTTGCCATCGGTGGTTATTTTGTTTGGTTAATTTTTTTCAATTTGCTATCTCGCAAAACTAAATGTTCGAGGGGACATCTACATCACCAAACTGGCACTTTGGTGTTAATGCGGAGTGAATATTTCTTGTATTTATAATCTGTATTTTTCTTATCCACCAAGGAAGTTTACATCTTAACCAATTTTTATAGTGCTGATTAGTTTTTATGTTTCTCTATAGCCCGCAGTATAGCACTGTATTCTTGGAAGGTCGCCTTGATGGCCACAAAGCTGTTTATCTTGATCAAACAAAGGCCTACATTAAAGCCCCACCCATTTCCTTTGGCATGGCGTTCACCATTACATGCTGGGTAAAACTTCTTTATTCCGCCCCGATCTACAGACCAATTCTCAGTGTCGAAACAAACAGCACAGATAAATTTTCCATCGGTTTTAATGCTGATAATCAGCTACTGCTCGACAGTTGGTCCCAGGGAGATTACAACATCACGAAAAGCTATGCCTTACTTCCAGCGAACGAGTGGATCCACGTGACTGTAACCTACAACCAAGATAGGGTGTTGTCGTTTTTTGTCAACGGAATGAAGAATATATCTGTAGCTGACGTATGGCAGGGTCCAAGAAGCGGCGCGTTCGAAATAGGCAGATACAAAAATATTAGTGAAGACAAGCATCGGTACTTTCATGGTTTTCTCAGTGATCTCTTTGTTTTTTCGAGAGCTTTGAATGCAGATGAAATCGGACGATTGATGGGTAAGTGAAACCTGTTTGAATGTTGTCGAGAAAAATACCTCCAGGGCAAACGAACGGCACTTTATAATCCGATTACATTAAGTAGAGTACAAACACCGTGCGAATCGGGTACAAATATCACACAATACTTGGACAGTTGGCCATTTTGCACTTTAAAAG